CACCCACCCACCCGCGAACTCTCCACGTCCCGGCGGTGCCCCTCGTAGCTCCGCCCGTACCACAACAGGCACTTCGCGTCCGCCTCACGCAGGCTGCACGCCATCTGCAGCAGCAGCAGCAGCAGCAGCAGCAGCAGCAGCAGCAGCAGCAGTGAGTGCAGGGCCTCGCAGCACCCCAGCCCGCGACAACTGGGACGCCGCGCCGCCGCCGAACAAAGCGGACTCCGGCGGCGCCGCGAGGCGCAGCTGCCCCCGGCAGCAGCAGCAGCAGCAGCAGCAGCAGCAGCAGCAGCAGCAGCAGCAGCGGCAGCAGCAGCGCGAGCGGCCACGCACAGCAGCAGGGCACCTGCTAACGCGCAAGAAAGAAGCAGAAGGAAGCTGGAAGTGCCACGAAAGGATTTCGAAGGCGAAGACAGCAGCAGCAAAGAAAGAAAGGCAGAAGAGGCGGCAGCCTCACCTCCGACAGCGCGAGGAAAACCGAGCAGCAGCAACAGAGGCAGCAGCAGGTGCAGCAGCAGCAGCAAAAGAAGTTCTTTGGTGAATTAATGCCACAAGAGGAACTGCTGAAAGGCCTTTTTCAAATTCCAGCAGCAGCAGCACGAGACAATCCTCTGGCCGTCTCGAGCAGCAGCCGCCGCCGCTGCTGCCCGGCAGACGCAGCCCTGGACTCTGCGCTCCGCCCCGCGTTCTTCCAACTCCACCCCGGAATTTAATTTAATTTTATTAATTGAATTTATATTTCCAATTTCGAATTCTTTCTTCTTCTCCGCAGCCGCAAATGCGCAAGGCGACCGCTAGAGCAGCGGCGCCGCCGTGGGGTGTACGGACAGCCGAATCCGCGGTGCTCTCCCGCGCCTCTTCCCCATTTTTCCGCCTTTTTTCGAATTTAAAACATTTTTAAAGTGTTTTAATTTGCAAATAATTCATTTAAACCCTTAATTGACGAAAAAAACCCTAAAATTGACCCCTTTTCCCCCGATTGGCATCGCCGCCTGTCTCGGCGCACGCATTACCACCCCCGATCAAAACGCCGCCCCGCTAGGCAGCACCAAACGCGAACCAAAATGCTCTTTTCCGCATTAATAATAATTCATTTTGCATTTAATTATTCCCTAATTAATTACAAATTCAAAAATAATAAATTCGCACTTCGTCGCAGCAGCGCCTGCGCGGCAGCGCTGCGCGGCGCTGCTGCGCACGGTGTACGTACACCTCGCAAGCCCAAGAAGCAGCAGCAACAAAGCACTGCAGCAGCAGCAAAGAACTGCAGCAGCAGCAGCTCAAGCAGCAACTCGAGAGCTAGCTGGCTAGCCACGCAGCTAGCTGGCCAGCAGCCCGCCCTTTGAGGGCTCTGCAGGGCAACACTCGGCCTCGCACGAACTCGAGACCACGCGCAAACCCTAAACCCTAAACCCTAAACCCTCGCAGGGCGCAGCAGCAAGCCCCAACGCATTCAGCAGCAGGTGCTGCCTGCTGCTGCTGCTGCAGCACCCCCAGCAGCCGAAAAGGCACTTTTTTGCGGACTCTGAATTAGCTGCGAAAGGCGCATGCAGCTCTTTGCTGCTCCGACAAACTAGAAAATAACCCTCGAATAAAACAACTAATTGGAGCTTCTAATTGGCATTAATTGCTGCTATTGCTGCTCTGGAGTTGCAAAGAAGTTCAGAAAAACCTCCACTCAAGAATTCGAAAAGAAGTTGCAGCAGCAGCCGCGGGGGCCCGCTGCTGCGGGCGCCCTGGGGCGCGTCAGCTGCTTGCGGTTCGCGGCAGCCCAGTCCCGACGAAGCCTCAAGAAGAAGAATATAATTATTATAATTAAATAATAAAATAATTTAATTATAATAAGGGAGTTGTGATCAGCAGCGCCGCGCGGAGCTGCGCAGACACCGCAGCGGCGGTCACGCGTAGCCGCACTGCTGCAGCAGCTGCTGCTGCTCCTGCGGCAGCGCAAGGGTGGCTTCCTTCGTTGCTGCTGCAGTCGCACGAGCCTCTTCTCTTTTTCTTTTGTAATATTTCAAAGATCTGGCTTTTCTTTTTTCTTCGAGGCGCGCGATCAGCCCGCCCTTGGACCAGCCGACCTGCGCATACACCCCAGCGCCGCGCGCGCGCCGCCGCTTGCGCGCGCCCGATCTTCGCGGAAAGCGCCGATCAAAGTGAAAAATAAACATCAAAATCGATTTAATTTTCAAAATTAACCTTAAAAACATATTTATTTCGCTCACTAGTTCGCTCAACTCCCCCAACCGGCAGAAGTCCCGGCCCGGCCGCAGCCGCATCACCCGCAGCGCCTGCGGCACCACCACCTTCTTCTTCCGCTCGTACTTCACAGGCACTCCTTCATAGACCTGCAGCACACCGCAGCAACACCCACCACCTGCTGCTGCTGCTGCCGCCGCTGCTGCTGCTGCTGCTGCTGCTGCTGCTGCTGCTGCTGCTGCTGCGCACCTCGAGGCGAGAAAGGGCCTTCTTGCCCCGGATTGTCTTGTGGCGAATCATCCCCCGCACTGCGCGCCAGAAGATCCGCGAGGGGGCCCTCATGTGGAAGGGGCCCCTCCTGGGGTTGGAGTTCATGCGCAGCCGCAGGAAGGCCTGGTACTTGAGTTTGTTGCGGTGCAGAGACCCTGCAGCGCAGCAAATAATAACAGCCCCTGCTGCTGCTGCTGCTGCTGCTGCTGCTGCTGCTGCTGCAGCGCAGGCGCGAGACGCTGCTGCTGCTGCTGCTGCTGTTGCTGCTGCAGCGCAGGCGCGAGGCGCTCCTGCTGCTGCCGCGGGAAGCGAAAGCGCGGACCAGAAAGCCACACACACACACAGCAGCAGCAGCAGCAGCAGCAGCAGCAGCAGCAGCAGCAAGGGGCGCACCTGATATGTTAATGTTCTCGCACTTGACGCAGACCACGTGTTGGCCGTTCAAAATCTCCTTCGCCACCACGGAGGCCAGGCGGCCCAGCAAGTGGCCTTGGCAGTTGATGACGACCACCTGCACAGAAAGCGCAAGAGGACTTCTCCGTTTTCCAGAAACCACAGCGGGTTTTGAAACCCTAATTTGGGGTTTTGAAACCCTAAATTAGGGTTTCCAAACCCTCGCAATTCGGGCTGCGTTGAGCCGCCAGCCACGCGCAAACGCCCGCAGTTCAAATAATTCAACTTGCACATTCACATGCAGCAGCACGCAGCGAAGCCCGAAGGCCGTGGCTCGCAGCTGAGGCTTCCCAGACTGCGAAAATAAATAAAAAGATTAAAAAATAGATTTAAAATAATAATTTGAAACAAAAACTCCGAGACAAAGAGGCAGCGTTCAGGAAACAGCCGCGGGAGGTGGCAGCCGCCGCGGCGGAGGTGTGGGCTGATCGGGCGGAAAGCGCGGAGCAGCAGCAGCACAAAGTGGAAAGAAACGCAAAAATGGCATTTAAAAGACTAAAAAGCATTTAATTGGCGAAGTTGAATTCAAAACTGCTGCAGATCGCTGCGGGGAAGAAAGAATTCAAGTTCTCGCGCTGCGGCGCGCAGCCGCAGCCTTCTGCGGTGTACGCGCACCTTCTTGAACGCCATTTTCCCCCGATCTCGAACTGCTGCAGGGAAATGCGCGAAAAATAAGAATTCTTTTTAGTGGCGAAGACCAAATCCCAACAGAAAGCCTCTCTTCTCGCCTGCCACGGCCAGCCTCTGCCACGCAGCCCCAACTCCCCCGCCCCACTCAGACCCCGTGGGCGCTGCTGGCTGCATGCGCTCGAGGCGCCCCCGAGGGAGACTTAGCCAAATTTCCCTTCTTTTTCCTTTTTACTATTTTATAAACTCCACAATAAATATATATATGGCCGCAGTTTGCTTCTCCGTAAGCAGGACCCCAGCCCCGGCGAGCACCTGCGGCCTTGCCAGCCCACTAGGTCTTGCAAGCCAGCTTAGCACTGCTAGCAGCAGCAGCAGCAGCAGCAGCAGCAGCAGCAGCAGCAGCAGCAGAGCCTAGGGGTTCCTAACTGATTCCACTGGCCCCTGTGGCTGCGGCCCTGTGCGCCGCGAGGCAGCACCCCCAAAGAGGAGGCAAAAAGCTCTCTCTTAGGTAGACAAATAGATAAATATTTGTACATTTGTTTATTAGAAATGTAAAATAAATTAAATTATAAATTAATTGGCAAAATTTGAACTCCTAAAGAGCCCATTTGCTCTTTTACAGGACATGCAAATCTCCGGAGATTGTCTGTGGTGTACAGACACCGCATTGGCAGCCAGCCGCCTTCACCTATCTCGGTGCTGCAAAATTGCAAAACCCTAAACCCTAAACCCTAAACCCTAAACCCTAAACCCTAGTTGGCGGTTCTTGTAGAGAACAAGGGCATGCATTGAAAGAAAAAATATTGCTAGGAGTTCTTGCTGCTCCTGAGTGCCCCCTGTGGCTGCGCTGTACAGACACCCCAGCTCCCGGCCAGTGCATGCACTGTTCTTTTCGGGTGTACATACACTTGGGGAGTTCTGCCTGCCCCTTTGCATGCACGAGTGCTCAGAACTGCTGCTGTTTGCATGCATGCAAATCATGGGGCAGAACAACAATAAAGAGTTCTAAACTAATGCATAAGCAAGCCCCCCTTGCTCTCCGCCATTTATAATATATATATATATACATATATTATAAATAATATTTAATAAATAATATATATAATAGCAACAAATCCACTCTTCCCTCCCGCATGCATGCATGCATACATGTACGCATGCATGCATGCATGCATGCACGCATGCATGCATGCATGCATACATGCATGCATGCATGCATGCATACGCGGGCCCCACAGCTGCAAGTTAGAAGAGTTTGGTTGCATGCAGTCTCTTCTTAATGCGGATTCTCCAGAGGGCAGCGCGGCAGCCCGCAGAGCGCCAGAGGCCCCTGAACCAGGGGGCCCCCCTGGGTACAGTTCCCGTACCCTCGGGGGGCCCCTCGGCCTCCCGGGGGCCCCCCGACTCCAAAAAGTACTGCAGCATTTCTTCCGCGCGCTGCAGCAGCCTGCAGGTGTCCAGACACCGCAGCAGCGCCTCTGGGGTGTACAGACACCTCAGCACCGCGCCGCATGCGCAAGTGCGCCCCCCCCGTAGCCCGAAAAAGCCCCACTACCGAACTAGCTAGCTGCCTAGCTAGCTAGCTAGCCACCTAGCTAGCTAGCTGTCTAGCTAGCTAGCTAGCCGCCTGGCTAGCTAGCTGAGTAGTCAGACAGCTGCCCAGCTAGCTAGCTGCCCAGCTAGCTAGCTGCCTAGCTAGCTAGCTGGGCAAGTCGCTAGCTAGTTGAAAGGCTAGTTGGAGAGACGGCTAGCTAGCCAGGCGTCTAGCTAGCTGGGTGGCTGGGCTGCTGACTACAAGAGGGCCAGCTAGCTAGCTAGGTGGCTAAAGCGGTGGCTGGCTAGCTAGCCAGCCGGCTAGCTAGCTAGCCAGCTAGCTAGCTAGCCAGCTAGCTAGCTAGCTGGCTAGCTGTGAGACTAGTCTGTCTAGACAAGAGCCCACCTCAAGTTCCCCCCCGCGCGGCGCTCCACCGTCAGCGCCAGAGGCACCAAAGACCTGCAGACCCAAAACAACACACATGCATGCATGCATGCATGCATGCATGCATGCAGAAACGCATGCATGCATGCATGCATGCATGCATGCAGAAACGCATGCGTGCATGCATGCGTGTACTCACTGAATGTCTCCGAGGCTGAGAGAGCGCAGCAGCACTTGAATGGAAAGCAACTCGTCCTTCTCTGCGCCTCCCCTGCAGCAGCAAATAACCAAAGGGCTGCTGGAGGCAAATAAGCCCCAAAACGCATGCATGCATGCATGCATGCATGCATGCATGCATGCATGCATGCACGCATGCATGCATGCATGCATGCAAATGCATGCAAATACATGCAGATATAAAGTCAGTGCTGCAGCTGGCAGCAAATGCTATTTGGAATAAGGAAGCAGCAAAAAGAGGAAAAGAGAGTGAGACAAAAGGAGACAAAGAGAAAAAAGAAAGAAATAAAAATGAAACAAAAAGAAACAAATGGGAAACAAAAGAGGAGACAAAATGGGAAAAGAAAAGAGAAAAAGAAAGGCCAAAGAGGAGACAAAAGGAGGTGAAAAGAAGACAAAAAGGAAACAAAAAAGATAAAAATAAATTTAAAAAAATAAAATATTTACTCATTTGTTGCATGCATTAAACCTATTTCTCGCAAGGCCTGCACATTGCCCTGGAGGGCCGCTCGGTTGAGCTGTCGATACACCAGACTCATGGGCTGCTGCTGCTGCTGCTGCGGCTGCTGGCTCAGCGGCAGCTGTTGCTGCTGCTGCTGCTGCTGCTGCGCTTGCTGCTGCTCCTGCTGCTGGCTCGCCGTGGGGCTGAGTGGGTCTGCATGCGGGTGCACGGGCTGCTGCTGCTGCTGCTGCTGCTGCTGCTGAGGGCTCTCCAAAGGCGCAGCAGGAGCAGCAGCGGGAGCAGCAGCAGCAGCAGCAGCAGCAGCAGCAGCACCTGGCACTGCTGCAGCGCCAGAGCGCAGCAAAAAGGCGGAATTCCACTGAGCCACTTCAAGGCCGTCTTCTGCTGCTGCCAAATTCAGCAGCAACGCGCCTTCATAGTCCTTGTCGTAGTACAGCTGCAGCGCTGCAAGACACAGCAGCAGCACCAGCAGCAGCAGCAGCAGCAGCAGCCAGGTTAGCGGCAGCAGCAGCAGCAGCAGCAGCCAGGTTAGCAGCAGCAGCAGCACGGCTAGTAGCGGAAACGCGAACAGCAGCAGTAAAGCTAGCAAGCAGGGACAGCAAAGCTAGCAGCAGGAGCAGCAGCAGCAACAGAGCTAGCAGGAGCAGCAGCAGCAACGCTAGGGCCAGCAGCGGCAGCAGCAGCAAAACTAGCAGCAGCAGCAGCAAAACTAGCAGCAGCAGCAGCAGCAGCAAATAAACATCATTGAACATTCAGGTCACAGAGCAGCTCACCTCGCCTGATGCTGTCGCCCCCTATGCCGATCTCTGCTGCTGTCTTATATGCCTGCAAAGCAGCAACCCTAAACCCTAAACCCTAAACCCTAAACCCTAAACCCTAAATCCTAAACCCTAAACCCTGAACCATAAACCCCTAAAGCTAAGCACTTTTCTCACACTTAGAGGCCTGCCTCAGTGGCGGCTGCAGCATGCAGAGCCCTAAACCCTAAACCCTAAACCCTAACCCCTGAGCCCTAAACCCTAAACCCTAAACCCTAAACCCTCACCAGCGCCGCGGCCCTGCACTTGGCTGCTGCGTCGGGGGCCCCCTTTCTTGCTGCTGCTGCTGCTTCGAGGGCCTCCCCTTCCTTCAGCCAGCCCAGGGGATATCCCCCTTCTGCTGCGCGGCTGTAGCAGCTTGCTGCCAGCGTCAGCAGCTGAGGCCACAGCAGCAGCAGCAGCAGCAGCAGCAGCAGCAGCAGCAGCAGCAGGCGAATGGCCTGGGGTTGGGGCTTGTTTAGCCCTTGTGTCTCTTATTTGTTTTTATTTATTTTAATTTATTTTAATTTATTTTA